TAATTCCAGGTAATATGGCTCCATTTGTATAAAGTTCTAAAATAGGCAAAACTTATCAATGGTGAAAAAAATAATGAGAATGGTAGCTTTTTTTTGGAGGGTAGGGATTGACTGGGAAGGGGAATGAGGAACCTTTATGGGGGTGGCAATAATGTTTTAGTTCTTTATAGGGTTCTGGGTTTACAGGTACACGCAGTTGTCAAAATTCACGGAATTTTCACAGTAGTGCCACGGGGGGAGGCGCTTATGAACCCACTTCAGAGATGAAGAAACTGAAGCTCAGATGGGAAGTCCATTCACCCAGGATCACAAGTGAGTGGCAAAGCTGTGATTCAAATGAAATCTTACTTCTGCTTGTAACCAAGATGCTCAGCCAACTCTTAAAATTAAACTCGGAAACAAAAATCCTCAGCAAAATACTAGCAAACCAAATCCAGCAACATATTAAAAGAATTTGAATTGTAGTGCTGGCAAAGAATACTGAAAATATCACGGACAGCCAGAAGAAGGAACCAATCCGTCCTGGAAGAAGTGCAGCCAGATGCCCCTTGGAAGCGAGAATGGACAGACTTCGGCTCACCTACTTTGGTCATGTTGTCAGAAGAGACCAGTCCCTGGAGAAGGAGATCGTGCTTGGTAAAGTAGAGGGTCAGGGAAAAAGGGGAAGACCCTCAACAAGATGAATCGCACAGTGGCTACAACGAGGGGCTCAAGTATAGCAAGGACTGTGAGGATAGCGCTGGTCTGGGCAGTGTTTCATTCTGTTGTACACGGGGTCACTCTGAGATAGAGCTGACTTGACGACACCTAACAATAACAACATTAAAAGAATTATAAACCTCGGCTAAGTAGGATTTATCCCAGGGATTAAGAGTGGTTCAACACACAAAAACCAATCCATGTAATACACCACATTGGTAGAATGAAGGAAAAAATCCCACATGTCCATCTCAAAAGAGATACAGAAAAGGCATCTGACCAAGTCCAACACTCACGCATAATACGAAGACTCAGCAAACTAGGAACAGACTGGAACTTCCTTGATAAAAGGAATCTATGAAAAACCCAGGGTTAACATCAATGGTGAAAGGCTGCATGCTTCCCCCTAAGACCAGGAGCAAGACAAGGAGGCCCACTTTCTTTCCTTTTTTGTTAAAAAGAAATACTTATTATTATTATTTAAAAATTTTTGCAGTGTTCCCTCCTCTCCCCTCCAGCCCCTGATAAGCAACAAAGAAAGCTCCCTTCCACATACAGAGAGGCCCACTTTCACTGCTTCTATTCAACACTGTACTGGATGTGCTAGCTAAAGCAATTACTCAAGAAAAAGAAATAAGAGGCATCCACAAAAACACTATTGGAGATAATAAACAAATTCAGCCAAGTTTTAAAATACAAGATCAACACACAAAAATCACTTGTCCTTCTACATATTAGCAATGAACAACCCCAAAATAAAGTTAAAACAAAAATTCCATTTATAATAGCATCAAATGGATTAAAATATTTAATAATAAACTTAACCAAAAGGTACTGCTAGCAACTGACACCAACTGACACCAACTGTAAAAACGGCAAGGAGGCCATATGTTCTGACCTCCTCTAATCTCACAAGAGGAAGACAGTAGTAACCCAAGGCCT